ATTGCGGTATTGTTTACTTGATTGTGGTTTGAAGTTAACCTTGGAGTTCATCCATGCTGATCTGAATGCTGATTATTGATTATTTTGTTCTCTATAGATTAGGCTGGTTGCATAATCTATAGATGTTGTTATGCCTGTTGATAGCAAACACTCTTATTTTCCTATTTTCCCCCTTAACAACCACCCTATGAAGTGGGGCAAACTTCATCTTCCTCTCCCCATTTCCTTCACACGTGCAGATACGACAGTCCTCTTGCTGTCCTCTTTCCTTGCTGTTTTTCCTTCCTGCGTGCCTTTCCCACGATGCCGTCTCCTCCTCCTCCTCCAGACCCACCCAGCTTTCTACCTTTCTTTCTGCCTCCAGAGGTGTTTGGGACTACATCTCCCAGCCTTCCCAGCCAGCTCCAGCCTGACAGATGTGTCACCAGCAGGCATTTGAGGACACAGAATTAGCCTGACTCTTCTCTTCGCCGCATTTCCCTCAAATTTGCGGCGCTTCCAAGACTTTTGATAAGTAAACGTGTGACCCCAAATCTGGGCACATCCTTAACGGCAGGAAATGTTACCGGTAGTCCTCAACGTACAACCACAATTGAGCCCACCGAAATTTATGGCATTCAGTGAGAAATTTGTTAAGCGGATTTTGCCCCATTTTACGACTTTTCTTCACATGGTTGTTAAGTGAATCACGGCAGTTGTGAAATTAGTAACACGGTTGTTAAGGGAATCTGGCTTCCCCATAGAGTTTGCACGTCAGAAGGTCGCAAAAGGGGACGGGGTGACCCTGGGACACTGCAACCGTCGTAAATGTGAGTCAATTGCCAAGCATCTGAATTTTAATCACGTGACCACAGGGATGCTGCCACGGTCATAAGTGTGAAAAACGGACACCGGTCCCTTTTTTTTTCAGTGCCATTGTAACTTTGAATGGTCACTAAGCGAACTGTTGTAAGTCAAGGACTACCTATATTTTCCAGTTCCATCAACAGGGACCTTTAGAGTGGTGCGGTGGCCTAGAGGTGGAACCCTCGCCTCACAATCAAAAGGGCTGTGAGTTCGATCCTAGGTAGAGGCAGATATTTCTCTCTCTGGGCACAATGAGAATATATCTGCTGAACAAAAACTCCGCATTGGAAACAGGAAGGGCGTCCGGCCAGTAAACACTCAGCTCCATTCAGTTGCCAGACTCCACCCCACAAGGGATTATGGGGTCATTAAAAGATGATGATGAGTGGTGCATAGCCTAGAGGTGGAGCTCTCCCCTCACCATCAGGAGGGCTGTGAGTTCGATCCTAGGTAGAGGCAGATATTTCTCTCTCTCTGGGCACAATGAGAAATAGATCTGCCGAACAAAACTCCGCACTGGCAAGAAGAAGGGCATCCGGCCAGTAAACACACTGCTAGCTCCATTCGGTTGCCCAGACTCCACCCCACAAGGGATTATGGGGTCGTTAAACGATGATGATGATGATCGACAGGGATCTTTCTTCCCCCCCCCCCCCCCAAAAAAAATTCCCACTTTTCCCAACCTTGCAAATCCGACGTCCTATTTCTCTTTGGAGCACACCTCATTTTGCTTTCGCTTCTTAGCCCCGGGGTCACGTCTAGGAGAAAGGCCGTGCTAAAAATGCAACATATCACATAAATGCTCGGTCGCGCCTTTCTCTCGACTCCATTCCCTCCTCGGATCTGAGCTTGCCAAGCCGACATAAAAGGCCCCAGCCTTTTTCCCGGTCCCTGCCGAAGAAGATCACAAGGAAGGGTGTATGTGTGTGTGTGTGTTTCGTTTTTGTTGTGTTGTGTTTTTTTTTATTATTATTATTTTTTGGCTTGCTCTTGTGGTGCGAGGCCTTCCTGGGCAGGGAGCCATTGTACCGAAAGGTGTCGGAAGAAAAGACCGAACCTCGTGCGGCTTGTTTTTTTCCCTCACGGTGGAAGAAAAGAGCCAGACCTGAAGAAAAGATTACATACACCCAGCTTGCCTGTCTGCGGGAAACATCGCTTTCTATTCTTGCGGGATTTTTCTTTTTTTTTTCCCCCTCCCTCTTTACATAATAATCCAGCTTTCCCCCCTTTCTTGCCTCGCCATGAACTCCAGAGAGAGAGAGAGAGAAAGAGAGGAGATAAACATAAGACGGGCTGCCAAGGTTGCCATTTTGAAATCAATCCGGCACAGCAAGAGACATCGCAAGGCACAAGAAACCTTGAAGAGAAAAGGGTTTCCCCCCCCAAAAAATTAAAAGTTGATCTGATGATTCTAGCCGCATGTACAGTCGGAATAAATTCGCCGGCTTTCCTCTACATCAGGAGTGTCAAATTCAAGGCCCGTGAGGAGGCCGGATCCAACCCGTGGGGTACTTAGATCTGACCCGCGAGGCCGCCCTGGAAAAAAAATAGCAAATCGATGGGATTTAAATCGATGGGATTTAAATCAAATCCACCCTGCACGTAAATACTGTGTAAGCCGAAATCTTCCTGGATTCAGCCCTCTGTTGCAAGTGGGTCTCCCCATCAGTCTTTCAGGCGCACCCGTTCGCACAAATAGATGGTACTACGTGGGTATTCGATACCAGTGACAATCAGCTGGCATGAATTGATGGAAACGGCGATCACTGATTAATGCGGCTGTGCAGGGTTTAGCATCATCGCACACCGGGGTTTGTAGGGAAAAAAAAAAAATTCTGAAGGCCCCACGTGCTCAGCCTAAGCATGGAGGCCTTCAGAAGAGGCACGTTCTCAGAGCTGGCATCATTCGCACCCAGAAGAAGCAAAGAACAGGGCCCAGGGACTCAGCCAGTCAGCTGGGGGTGCTGTTCATTTGCTGATCCATTTGGATCTGGGTAGGTGTGACTCTATCTTCTTTTTTCTTTTCTTTTCTTTTTTTTTAATTTGATTTATATGCCACCCTTCTCCGGAGACTCAGGGCAGTTTACAATGCGTTAAGCAATAGCCTTCATCCTTTTGTATATTTATACAAAGTCAGCTTATTGCCCCCACAAACTGGGTCCTCAATTTACCTACCTTAGAAAGGATGGAAGGCTGAGTCAACCTTGAGCCTGGCGAGATTCGAACCTGCAGTAATTGCAGGCATCTGGTCTTAATAACAGGGTGCTTTAGACCACTGTACTACCAAGGCTCCTTCTAGATCTTCTGACCTAGGCTTCCTTAGAAAGTATAAAGCACAATCTTAGTCCCGTAAAACCTCTTATTTATACGACTGTAAATTACTTTCATTTACAGTCCGCAAGTTTTTCAGAAGAAGGTTATCAACACCCACCTTATCTCCCTTGGAATGCTGCCAAGAGAGCTAATTTCCAGAGGCAGGGCAAGGCAAAACTTGGCACAGAGTCACAAACCGAACTTTCAAATCTTGAATCGGCCAGATGAACTAACTGCTTCCTGCAAAAAGCTCATGTCCCGTTCGCTTCTCTTTTATGTCTTACGGGAGGGGCCAATCATCTCCAAGCCTTACTCCCAAGTCGACCCTGTTTCCTTAATTGTTCTTGTCGTCTGGCAGCTCTGGGAACAGGCTCCCGCTGTTCTTCTGCCTCGCTGCTGTCAGACTCCGGAGGCTGTACATAACTATCAGACGGCCTTGGCCCCCTCTCTGCCTCCAATGCAGAGCCAGGCCCAAGTTCCTCCCCAACCTCCTCATTGTCCGACTCTGCTGGCTGCCAGTAGGCCACAACACTTAGGCCCCCTGGTGCTCAAGATACTAGCCATGATGGTCTTGTGGTGAGCAAATGAAGGGAACCGGGAATTGGCCTTGAAGAATTAGGACCTTTTTCCTAATTTTCCTTGCTGCTGGATTTCATGCAACTGAGGCAGAAGGCGTGGGGCAGAATTATTTCATGGGTTTGGAATGTGGGGCTTTGAAATGGGGCAGCAGGTTCAGTATCTGTAGAAGGGAATATTTGTAACTCGGGGTTAAACTACGGGATCCCTGGGGCTCTCTGAGCTGGGTGGTTGGCTTGCCGACGTTTCATGACCCAACTAGGTAACCTCATCCAGTGCAGTGATGATGTGATGATCAATGAACTGATGACGTTACTTCGTTGGGTCATGAAACGTCTGCAAAAAAGCCAACAAGCTCAGGAGAGCAACAAGGACCCCACGGTTGAGTGTCTGCCAAACCAAACTGGAGAAACACGGTCTTATTTAAGGTTTTACCCTACTCTCGTTTTAAATGGTTTGTTTAGAATTTTATTGGTAATCTGTGTTTGAACCTGTACATTGATATGGCCTATAGACTAATCAATCCAATCAATCAATCAATCAATCAATCAATCAATCCCTTCCCTTCTCCTTTCTCTTCTTTTCCCTTCCCTTCCCCTCCTTTCCCTTCCCTTCTCCCTTCCCTTCCCCCTTCTCCCTTTCCCTTCCCTTCCCTCCTTTCTTTTCCCTTCCCTTCCCTTCCCTTCTTCTCCTTTCCCTTCCCTTCCCTTCCCCTCCTTTCCCTTCCCTTCTCCCTTCCCTTCCCTTCTTCCTTTCCCTTCCCTTCCCCTCCTTTCTTTTCCCTTCCCTTCCCTTCTTCTCCTTTCCCTTCCCTTCCCCTCCTTTCCCTTCCCTTCTCCTCCTTTCCCTTCCCTTCCCTTTCCCTCCTTTCCCTTCTGTTCTCCTTCCCTTCCTTTCCCTTCCCTTCCCTTCTCTTCCTTTCCCCTCCTTTCCCTTCCCTTCTGTTCCCCATCACCTTCTAACCAGCACATGTTCTACCGATAGCTACTTCATTGCACCGTTGTGAGCCCACTTTGGGCATAACCCAGCTTTCTGTGCCTTTTGAGAACCGTTGCACCTCCTCTTCAAGTGACAGGCAGCAGGAGGAGGATTCGCTAGAGCTCTGTGCATGGGGCATCTCTGCCATTCCTCCAGCAACGTAGCTCCTGTGGGGCGTGGGCTGCTGGGAGTTGTATTCGGTGGACATCTGGAGGGCTGCAGCTTTCCTTCTCTGGCAGTAGAGGACGTGCGATCTTACTAACCCTTCTGTGTCTTTTAACTTGCAGGAGGCTGAACAGCACCCAAGGAGAAATCCGGGTTGGGCCCAGCCATCAGGTAAGGTTGCCCCGAGCATCGCCTCGCCGTGCAGTTTTTTTTCACACAAAAAAACCATTCCACAAACAATCCTGGCTGTAGCATTTGAAGAATTGTTGTTGGCTTGCAGCCTAGTTTACTCGCTTGTAATATTCAACTTGATGCCGAACAACTCTGGGCAACCCCGTAGTCAAACACAAGGCCCGTGGGCCAGATCCAGGGATGGGCTGCTGGGGGTTCGCAGGGGTTTTGGAGAACCTCTAGCTAAGATTCTGTGCAGTTCGGAGAACCCCCAAATCCCACTCCTGGCTGGAAACTTCTGGTAGGCCCATTTTTTGCCCACCTCGAGCCTCCGCGCGCGCCCTGCACTTACCTGCATCCAAAACGGGCTGCATGGGGACTCCGGGGAGGGGCGGGTGGGCAGGCCCATCCAGGAGTGGATTTGGGGGTTGTCCGAACTGCACAGAATCTTAGCTAGAGGTTCTCCCGAACCCCTGCGAACCCCCAGCAGCCCACCCCTGCATGAAATGCTTGGAAAGAAGAAAGACACACACCTCTTTGTGTGTGTGTGTGTGTGTGTGTGTGTGTGTGTGTGTGTGTTTGTTTGTTTATGGATGACCGGCCACATTCCTTTACAACTCAAGACTTTCTCAACTTTAAAAGTTTGCTTTAAAACTCCGCTTTAAAAGTTCGCGTCGAGTGTCCGCAACGGCTGACGTTTCTCTGATTTATCTTCCCTCTTCTTTCCAGGCCAAGCTCCCCGAGCTGCAGCCTTTCCCTTCCGGAGATGGTGACGCGGTGACACGTCACGAAGAGCTGGTCTGGATGCCCGGGGTGAACGATTGCGACCTGCTCATGTACCTGCGGGCGGCGAGGTAATCATCACGTTTGGGAATCGGCCCGCCGAGGACCCTCGGGTTTGCAAAAACCCAACCGACCTGGCGCCCCAAAGTTGCCTCTGAGAAAGAGACGCTCCCTGCTTGGTGCGTCGGTGCACGGACGCCTCTCAAAAACAGCCATGCTTTCTTCAGATTAGGGAGGAAGCTTGGAAAGCTGGTGTGCATTTTCTAGAAGAGAGATGGGCTGCTCTCGGGCGTCTCCACAAGGCCCGTTTTTTTCCCCCTTTCCTGATTCGTTTCAGAAGGGGCGCTGTCTTAGCGATAGAGGTTAGACTTATATACCGCTTCACAGTGCTTTCCAGCGCTCTCTAAGCAGTTGACAGAGTCAGCCCTCTTGCCCCCAACCATCTGGCTCCTCATTTTACTGACTTCAGAAAGACGGGAGCCTTAGTCGACCTTGAGCCACTCGGTCAGGATTGAACTCCTAGCTGTGGGTAGAGTTAGCCTGCAATACTGCATTCTAACCACTGGGAAGGAAGGATGGAAGGGAGGGACGGGGAGGGAGGGAAGGAAAGAAGGAAGTAGAAATAGTGAAGGAAGGAAGGAAGGAAAGGAAGGAAGGAAGGAAGGAAGGAAGGAAGGAAGGGTATTTTAAGACTTATAAACTGCTTCACAGTGCTTTACAGCCCTCTCTAAGCAGTTTACAGAGTCAGCCTCTTGCCCCCCAACAATCTGGATTCTCATTTTACTCACTTCAGAAGGACAGGAGGCTGAGTCGACCTGAGCCAGTCGGTCAGGACTGAACTCCTAGCTGTGGGCAGAGTTAGCCTGCAATACTGCATTCTAACCACTGGGAAGGGAGGGAAGAAGGAACGGAAGGAAGGAAAATAACAATAGCACTTAGGGTAGTTTACAGAGTCATTGTTCTCCATTGTGGTCGTAAATCGAGGATTGCCAGTAAACCTCTTTTTTAAGTTGGGGGAGCTTAGCCTAGTGAAAAAAAAAATTATGCGTCAATATTGTTTTTTTTGGCTCTGTTGGCTTCACCTTGGAAGACGGTCACAACCTGCTAAACTTCAAATTTCTTTTTGGGATTCAAAGGAGCATGGCGGCTTTCGCAGGGATGTGCGACGGCGGTTCGACGGAAGACGGCTGCGTGGCGGCTTCCCGGGATGACACCACCCTCAACGCGCTCAACACGGTAAGGAGCCAACTTCCGCCTTTCCGGAAATAAAACGTTTTAGCAATTCTAACGGAGTTCTTCTGCAGGGCGATGTTCAAAATCCTGCTTGTGTGTTTGGATCGACCTTGTGAATCTAGGGCAGCCGGACTGGTCCAATCCACAGAGCAGAGGGAAGGGGGAGTGGGGGAGAGAATTTAGGAAGGGAACTGAAGAATAAACAGAATTGGCGTAGGGGCTTGCCACAGCTCACCTCCTCATTGTAGATGGGCTGGTGGCCCTTGGCTTCTCTCCAGCCCGCTTGTGGCATATGGCTACTTGCTGGGGTGCCATTCAGATGTTGGTCTGAAAACTTTCAGGGATTTTTTGCCTACTCAGTACAATCATACTGACTTATATGCATCCAAGTGGCTGTAGGTGTAGGTTTTCCCAAAATGGGTAGAATAGGGCAGGGCAGGGCAGGGTAGGATGCAGAACACAGAATGGAATGGAATGGAATAAGGAATAAGGAAGGTTAGGAGAAGAATAGAATAGAATAGAATGGAATAGAAAATAGAATAACAGAATAGAATATATGGAACGGAATGGAATAGAATAGAATAAGGAATAGGAAAGGATAGAAAATAGAATAGAATAGAATAGAATAGAATAGAATAGAATAGAATATAGAATAGAATAGAATAGAATAGAATAAAATATGGAATGGAATGGAATAGAATAGAATAAAGGAATAGGAAAGGATAGAATGGAATGGAAAAGAAAATATATGGAATGGAATGGAACAGAACAGAACAGAACAGAACAGAATAGAATAGAATTCTTTTAATTGGCCAAGTGTGATAGAAGAGACAAGGGATTTGAATAGGTGCAGAAGCTCTCAGTGTATTACAAACAGCAAAGTAATATAATTGTAAGATACCAATAAGAAAGGTAGTCATAAAGACGAGAAGGATAATATACTACAGCCAACGTTCCACGTGGAACTAATGTCTTTATTAGGGCTAAGAATCGTGACCCTGTGTTAAACACCCGTAACATTTTAATGCCTTTCTTTTTTTTTCTTTTTCCCCCCCATAATCTTTTTCTTCCCCTTTAATTGAGGGCATTTTCTGAAATCACTAGCAAGAGATGGAGAAGCAGGCTTTATACGAATATATCTGTTGCCTTGGATCGAAAAGATGAGAATTTCCTTTCCTTTCCATTCCTTTCCTTTCCTTTCCTTCCCTTCCCTAGAATATCCCTTCCCTTCCCTACCCTTCCCTTCCCTCCTCCTAGAATTTCCTCCTCCTTCCTTCCTTTCCTTCCCTTTCCCTTCCATCTTCCTCTTTTCCTGTCCTTTCCTGTCCCTTCCTGTCCCTTCCTTTTTCCCTTTCCCTTCCCTTCCATCTTCCTCCTTTCCTTCCCTTCCCTTCCTTCCCTTCCTTCCCTTCCCTTTCCTCCTCTTTTCTTCCTTTCCTTTCCTTCCCTTCCCTTCCCTCCCTTCCTTCCCTTCCCTTTCCTTTCCTTTCCTTTCCTTTCCTTTCTCTTCCTTCCCCTTCCCTTTTCCTTTCCCTCCCTTCCCTTCCCTTCCCTTCTTTCCTTTCCTTTCCTTTCTTTCCTTTCCTTTCCTTTCCTTTCCTTTCCTTCCTTTCCTTCCCTTCCTTCCCTTCCCTTTCCCTTCCCTTCCTTCCCTCCTCCTCCCCTTTCCTCCTCCTTCCTTTCCTTTCCTTCCCTTTCCCTTCCATCTTCCTCTTTTCCTGTCCTTTCCTGTCCCATCCTGTCCCTTCCCTTTTCCCTTTCCCTTCCCTTCCATCTTCCTCCTTTCCTTCCCTTCCTTCCCTTCCTTCCCTTTCCCTTCCCTTTCCTTCCTCTTTTCTTCCTTTCCTTTCCTTCCCTTCCCTTCCTTTCCTTTCCTTTCCTTTCCTTTCCTTTCCTTTCTCTTCCCTTCCCTTCCCTTCCTTTCCCTCCCCTTCCCTTCCCTTCCCTTCTTTCCTTTCCTTCCTTTCCTTTCCTTTCTTTCCTTTCCTTTCCTTTCCTTTCCTTTCCTTTCCTTTCCTTTCCTTTTTTTTAAAAAAGGGGGAAATATTTAGCCTTCCAGAGGCCACGTTGCCTGAAACGGCTGGAAGACGGCTCTCCAACCAGGAAGAAATGGTTGCTTACCTGTTTTGGTTTTGCTGGGAGCCCAAACCGGCTTGTAAAAGCTGGACTTTTTCAAGAGATCCGTCCCCGTCTGGTTTTCCGATCCGTGGCTGGGAATCGCGGAGTCTGGTTTGCGCGGAGGGGGCGTGTTGATGTTTAGCAATGATAATGGGGTAAAAAAATAATAATAATAATGGATCCGCTCTATGATTCCTTATTATGGAAATACAATAAACTTCAGAGCGGCCCTTCACATAAATCATTCCTGACAAAGTTCTCTCCCAGTGTTTTATTTATGTAATAACAGGGTGCCGCAGTCCTCCCCGTGATTTATTGTTAATTACACCCAAAAGGCAGCGAGAGAATAAGGGAAGCCTTTTTTTTTCCCTTCCTTTTGCTGAGCAGCATTTATATTAACTTCCTTCCTCCCTGGGTCTATTTGCCTAAGGACAAGGCTACATTTCCTTCCTGCCCTCCCCTCCTCTCCCTTCCCTTCCCCTCCATTTGTTTTTCTCTCCATTTATCCTTCCTTCCTCCTCTCCCCCTCCATTTATCCTTCCTTCCTCCTCCCTCTTTTTCCTTCCTTCCCTTCCCTTCCCCTCCATTTATTATTCCCTCCACTTAGCCTTCCTCCCCTCCCCTCCCCTCCCCATCCCATCCATTTATTCTTTCTTCCTTCCTTCCTCCTCCCTCTTTTTCCTTCCTTTCTTCCTCCCTCCCTCCTTCTCTTCCCTGCCCCTTCATTTATTATTCTCTCCATTTATCCTTCCTTCCTCTCCTCCCCCTCCATTTATTCTTTCTTTCTTCCTTCCTTCCTCCTCCCTCTTTTTCCTACCTCCCTTCCTACCTCCCTTCCCTTCCCCTCCATTTATTCTTCCTTCCTTCCTCCTCCCTCTTTTTTCTTCTTTCCTTCCTTCCTCCCCTTCCCTTCCCCTCCCTTTACCCTTCCTCCCTTCCTTCCCTTCCTATCTTCCTTCTCCTTCCTTCCTTCCTTCCTTCTTTCCTCTTTTTCTTCCCTTCCTCCCTTCCCTTTCTATCTTCCTTCATTCCTTCCTCCCTTCCTTCCCTTCCTATCTTCCTTCTCCTTCCTTCCTCCTTTCCTTCCCTTCTCTTCCCCTCCATTTATTCTTCTCTCCTTCCTTCCCTTCCCTTCCCTCCCCTCCCCTCGACAACCCAGCATGTAATTACAGATAGTCCTCGACTTACAACAGTTCATTTAGTGACCGTTCCAAGTTACAATGGCACTGAAAAAAAGTTACTTATGACTGCTTTTCACAGTTACCATCTGTGCAGTGTCCCAGTGATCTTGTGATCAAAATTCAGACCAGCTTGGCAACTGGTTCATAATTACGACCGTTGCTGTGTCCCAGAGTCACACGATCTCCTTTTGTGACCTTCTGACGAGCGAAATCAATGGGAAAGCCAGATTCACTTAACAACCATGTTACTAACTGAGACAGCTGCATCAATTCACTTAACCACTGAGGCAGGAAACGTCGTAAAATGGGAATTTCGCTTAACAGCAGAAATTCTGGGCTCAAAAATCGTGGTCCGAGCCTTTTCAGATTTGGAGCAAGGATGTTGTCTCCCGTCTCCACACACACCTCCTTTTTATATTTATTTATTTATTTATTTATACATATTTATTTATAATATATTTATTATATTATTTATACATTTTTCTTTAACATACATTGGTGCTTGGTAAACAGTGTATTGTCTGGCTCAATTTACTTTATACCTAGTAATATTGTTTATTTGTACATATAGAATAGAATAAGAATAGAATAACAGAGTTGGAAGGGACCTTGGAGGTCTTCTAGTCCAACCCCCTGTTCAGGCAGGAAACCCTACACCACTTCAGACAAAGGGTCGTCCAACAGATTCTTAAAAGCCTCCAGTGATGGAGGATCCACAATTTCTAGAGGCAAGCAGTTCCACTGATTAATTGTTCTCACTGTCAGGAAATTTCTCCTTAGTTCTAAGTTGATTCTCTCCTTGATTAATTTCCACCCGTTGCTTCTTGTCCTGCCCTCAGGTGCTTTGGAGAATAGCTTGATTCCCTCTTCTTTGGGGCAGCCCCTGAGATATTGGAACCCTGCTATCATGTCTCCCCTAGTCCTTCTTTTCATTAAACAAGACATACCCAGTTCCTGCAACCGTTCTTCGTATGTTTTAGCCTCCAGCCCCCTAATCATCTTTGTTGCTCTTCTCTGTACTCTTTCCAGAGTCTCAGCATCTTTTTGACATTCTGGCGACCAAAAATGGATGCAGTATTCCAAGTGTGGCCTTACTAAAGCCTTATAAAGTGGTATTAACACTTCACGTGATCTTGATTCTTGATCTTGATATTAATCACCTTTCAGCTTCTAACTTCTGCCTCTATTATCTAACCCTTGATAGAACAAATCCCATGTTTAAAAAAAATATTCTGTATCTTCTTCACCTCCAAGACTCCCCCCTTTCCATTAAAACATCTGCAGATATTTGAAGAGGCAGGCAGAGCTTTAAGAGTTCCCCCTCTGAGATTATCAAAGGCCAGAAAATTCAGGCCCATATTGGCTTTTAATAGCGTATATAAAAAAAACGCCGATTGCTGATAACTCCTCGCTGGGAGATTTCTCTTCCTTCTTTTTTCCTTTTCAACTATATTTTTAATGCAAGAAAGAAAGAGAGGGGGGGAGGGAGAAAGGAAGGAAGGAAGGAAAGAAAGAAAGAAAGAAAGAAAGAAAGAAAGAAAGAAAGAAAGAAAGAAAGAAAGAAAGAAAGATCTTAAGCGTTGCCAAGACTGTGAGTTGACCCCAAGCACAACCTTAAAAGGGAGGGGGGGATGGAAACTCAACAGCTCCCCTGCCTCAAGATCCCTGCAGAGTGGTCCTTTGCAGGGAGCCCATCTGCAAAGCTAGCCCAAACTTTCCTCCTCTCCCCCTCCAACCAGCCTTCCGAGATCCTGGCCAGGTTCTTAATGGACTCCCCATTATTTCCTATCTCCCATCACCACCACCATTGCGGCCCGGATGCTTTCAAGCCAGCTTGGTAATGGCCGTAATTGGAGGCACGTGCCCTCGCCACGCCGGTGCCCCCAGTTACACAGCCGCGGTTTCAACTCGGAAAGGTCGCCGGGAAAACAGGGGCCTTCAAATTAAGTTATGAATTACAAGCCGAGGACAATATTTTGACGCGCCCGAGCTGGCGGTGTCAGGAGTGGCAGGACGTAATTCACAGATTCATTACCAAATGGAGGTGGGGGGAGCGGGGGGTGACAGCTGAGCGCAGAAGGCCTCACGGTGGCGACGCGCGGGTGCCCCGATGCCCGCCCGCTTCCTCGCGCAAACCACACCCGTTCACCTTGCACGGGCGATGCGAATAAGGCGTGTGAGGGGGCAGCGCCCCTTTAAGGCCCCTTGCGAGATAAATGAGGGTGAATAGAGAAGGAAAAAAAGAGCATTAGCATTTAAAACAGGTAATGTTGTAAGCCCTGCCTGCCTCCCTCCTTCCCTGCCTTAACAGCCACGGGGAGATTAAAGCGGGCCTTGGATGCTTAATTGCTTTCATCTTCAGGAAAGTAAAACATACGCATCACAACAGCCCTGACAATTTCAAAATACTGATTTTTGTGTTCTCTCGTGCCCCCTCCCTCTCCTCTTCCCCTTTCTATGCCTCCGTTCTTAAACTGGCAGAAAGGAGAAGGGTGCAGCAAACCCTGTGAAGCGCCTCCTGCCTTTTAATGTTCCTTCAGTCCATGCGCCTAATCGTCACATCCTTTTTAAAAAAAAAAAAAAGACTTCCCACTTCCCTTCCTCGTTCTCTTCCCCTGCTTCTCTGAGCGAGGATGGGCTCCGGAGTCCGCTTCAGTTAAGCTGCCTTGATTAACGAGGGGGATGAACGGCTGGTTAAGTTTCATTTGAGCCCCTGGTTGCCAACTCAACCCGTTCGGGTTGTTTTACGGCCCCGCGCGCACGCGTCATGCTCAGGAAACGGGATAATGCGCAAAGCGACGGAGGGAGAGGGGTTACCGATAGGCCTGCTGAGTCATGGGAATGGCATAGCGATATAGTGGTTTTATCAGCACCTATTTAAATATACACGATGATCAGTGGTGGGATTCAAATTTTTTTACTACCTGTTCTGTGGGCGTGTCTTGGTGGGCGTGGCATGTCTTGGTGGGCGTGGCAGGGGAAGGATACTGCAAAATCCCCATTTCCAAAATTCCATTTCCATTTCAGCTGGGACTCGGGAGGCAGAGAATAGATGGGGATGGGGCTAGTCAGAGGTGGTATTTACCGGTTCTCCGAACTACTCAAAATTTCCGCTACCGGTTCTCCAGAACTGGTCAGAACCTGCTGAATACCACCTGTGATGATGATATACATCCTAATTACGACCATTTTTCTCTTATTCATACAGTATAGTCCATACGGGGGTGGAAAAAGAAACTTGATATTAGACAACATATTTATATCTATTGTTTTCATGGTTATAACATGATTCTCTATACATGTATCACTCTATATATTTCTCTATATACAGTCTAGTAATAACATTGCTTGCAATGCGTATTTTTCTGTATAGATTTGTACCTGTATTTGTTTCTAGCTTATTAATCCTCTTTCACCATTAATTTTCTAACCCTTGCATCTATTTAAATTTAAACAAATAAATTATCTAGCCGCATGATGGCGAACCTATGGCACGCGTGCCACAGGTGGCACACGTAGCCATATCAGTGGGCACGCGGGCTCAGTTCCGGCGCGTATGCACGTGTCGGCCAGCTGATTTTCAGGTCTTCTGGGCCCACCAGAAGTAGGGAAACAGGCTGTTTCCTGCCGCCGGAGGGCCTGGGGGCGGTGGGGAAGACCTGTTTTTCTTTCTTACCTGGCTCCAGGGCTTCTCTAGGAATCTGGGGAGGGAGAAAACGGCCTGTTTAATAACTTCTGGTGGGATCGGAAGGCCTATTTTTTGCTGTCCCCAGCCTTCAGGGCCTCTCTAGGAGTCTGCGGAGGATGAAAACAGCCTCCCCCCCCCCGAGGTCCTCCAGAGGCTTAAAATGCCCCATTCGACAACTTCCGGTCCCACCGGGCCTTCTGGTCCCACCGGAAGTTGTTAAACGGGCCATTTTTGGCCTCCAGAGGACCTCCAGGGGGTGGGGAAGGCTGTTTTCGCCCTCCCCAGACTCCTAGAGAGGCCCTGGAGCCAGGTAAGAAAGAAAAATGTGCATGCCAGCAGCGGGGAAGGGGAGGTGGCACACGCATGCGTGGGGGCGGGGCACATAGAATTATGGGTGTGGGCACACACGCGCGTGACTCCCCCCCCTTCCTGGCACACGATGGCAAAAAGATTAGCCATCACTGATCTAGCCAATTGTACCATAGGTCCCATATTAGATAATACTCTGTTTCTCCTTTGTCTTTCATTTCCATCGTTAACCTGTCCATTTCGGCGCAGTCTGATATTTTCCTTATTACCATTTCCTCTGTAGGCATACTTCAATTTTTTCCAATTTTGTGCATACGTAATTCTAGCTGCTGTTATCACATGTAACATTAAATATTGAATTCTTTTATTGTATTTCCCCGTTAGTATGCCTAATAGAAATTGTTCTGGTTTTAGGTCCATTAGTTGTGTTATCATCTCCTCTAACCACTCTTTTACCTTTACCCAATATTTTTTCGCCAACGGACAGGTCCACCACATGTGAATGTTGCTTGTCTTCAGAACCAAAACTGTCTTCGGCCCGAAGCCGCTAAATTTTCCACTTCGGAAAAAAGTATTTATGTCTCTCTAGCATTGTTTCCACTGACCCCCCCCCCCTATTTTCTCTTCCTTCCTCCAGCTACATGAGAGCAACTACGACGCCGGGAAGGCCCTCCAGCGTCTGGTGAGGAAGCCCGTCCCCAAACTGATCGAAAAATGCTGGACGGAAGACGAAGTGGTAAGAAGGCTAGTTTTGGGAGGCCGGCTGTTGTCAGGCTCCGCTTCAATCTCTCGTCGTTTTTGCTCAGATCCTTCACTTTGGAAGGTGGCGAGAGACACAGGGGGTCTCTTGCGCGGCCGGCTTCTCCCAGCTGCCAGGTTCCCACCTTGCCAGCTTGCACCCAAATCACTCAAAATTAGACATTGCTCTGCTACCTGTTGTGGCCCGCCAGCGGATCTGGCAGCAGATTCGGACAGTGAGGAGGTTGGGGAAGAACATGGGCAGTCCTGGAGTCTGAGGAAGGCTCTGATGAGGGCTCTGCGTCGGAGGCAGAGAGGGAGCCAGGGCCGTCTGACAGTTATCAGCTGCCTTTGGAGTCAGACATCAGTGAGGCAGGCGAATAGCTGGAGCCTGTTCCCAGTGTGCGCATGCGGAGAGTTGCCAGACAAAGGGAACAGCTAAAGAACAAGGGTTGACTCAGGAGTAAAGGCACAGGTGGGCGGTGAATGGCCCCTCCCAGAGGGAATAAAAGAGGAGCGAAAGGGGAGAAGAGAGACTTTGTTGGAGAGGAAGTCACTGTAAATTAAACAAAAGGGGTTTTTGTCGGGACAAGGCGTCTGCTTCGTGGTTTGGGGAAGCCTAGATCAGAACACTACTACTGGGTTCAGCCAAGGAGCCGCTGGGGGCCAAGCCTCATCGTCTTGTGCCAGTTACCCCTAGTTGCCCAACTGAGGGGCCAGCAGACCTCTCTCCCCAAAAAACCCCAAGTAGAAATAGCTTTTCTGTGCCTTGTCTGTGTTACCTGAATTCAGTTAGCCATGAAATGTTTGGAGCTCTGAGCTCAACTTTCACCCAAGGTGCCCTTGCATGGACTCGAAGGTCCAAAGAACGAGGTGAAAGGATGGAACGGGGGGGTACCAAGGCCAGGGAGAATGAGACGAGGGGAGCAGGAGAAGAGAAAATAATTCCCCCTCCCATCCCCTGCGGAGAGGAAGGGGAACACCAGAAGCCAGATGGCTTTAAGAGGAAGCGCATTAAGATCCATGCGCCTGCTCTAATGGTTGTAAGGCTGGCGTGGCCCTCTCTAGTAAGATCCAGGAAAGGTATGGAAAGGGGCTCGGCGGGGATCCCTCCCCTCCCCGGGTCTCCTTTGGTTCTGGCCCGAGAGTGGTGTGGGGGGGAGGTTGCTGAATCCCACAGACTCTGACCAATGGCAAAATCAGGAAATTTGATGTCTGGCCACCCTGGGATGCTCGGAGGGAGGTGGGAGTCTTGTCCAAAACAGGCCTCTTTGACAGCAAGGTATCCTGGTCTCTAGCACATCCTGGGTACCGAAGCGAGCTGCGCCACAGTTTATCAAAGAACCCCTTCGGCAAACAATGCAATGCGTCTCCAAGGCTGGCCGTGTTTTGCTTCGGATCGAAATGGGCCCGCCTGACCTCCTCCCCCCAACTCCCACCGTGTCCCTCCCTGCCAACTTCTCATCAGCTGGGAAATTGGCACCCCTGCAGGAACCCTCCTTCCCCCTAGGTCTCTTCTCTTCCCCCCCTTCCTCCCCCCTTTCCCTACGCCTTTTTTAAATCGTAAAAGCGCCAGCGATATTTTGGTGCATCAGACTGGAAGAAAAGCAGGTGCTTGAAGGCCTGTTAGCACCGGGTGCGCAAGGAACAGGTTCAGACATGACGGCACAGAGTTCCAGAAAGCTGGATGGAGAAGAAATGGAGGCAGCTTTGTAACATCTGGATAGGCCAGCTCGTTGCCCTTTCGGCTCATTTGTCCCAAAGGAACTTTTTCTCTCAAGAGGCAACTGGACTTTCTTGTTTTTCTTCAAAGACGTTTCGCTTTTCCTCCGAGGAGCTTCTTCAGCTTCTTCTCCTCCGAGAACCTTCTTCAACTTCCTCTCCCCCGAGGAGCTTCTTCAGCTTCCTCTCCTCTGAGAAGCTTCCTCATTTTCTTCTCATCAGCTGAAGAAGCAAAAACATCTTTGGAGAAAAAAACCAGTTGTCTCCTGAAAAAGCACCTTTGGGACAACTACAACACAGGTGGTATTCAGCCGGTTCGAACCGATTTGGGCGAATCGGTAGCGGAAATTGCTCTATGCTGTACTATTTAGGCACGTTTTTTTAGGCCAGGCACATGTGCAGAAGGCTCACACACCAGTAAAACACATGCATAGAAGGCCAGGCACATGCGTGGAGGTGGCGTGACTGTGCACACGCTCACATTTTCGGTGCTGGGCGAACCAGTATGTACTGGATGACTGAGAACCTCCATAGACATCTTGGCTCGTTTGTCTTCCAGTTGTCGGAATTCAATCTTCCCTTGCAATTTTTTTTTGGGGGGGGTGGGGGTTGGGGGAGTCTCCTTTCTGAGAGTGGATAGGCCCGGCGTAATATTTTTAGCATCCTTGAAATCAGAAACCCTTAATCGGAGGAATGAGATTCCGTGCTTCGAAAGGGCTTGGCTCCGGTTAGCAAGCCGGTGTTCGAAACGCCGCCTCTTTTCCAGCTCCGCTTGCGCCATCCAAAGAACGAAGCCCTCTAAATTTGTGCTCAACTGCCCCTCCGTTGCCTGTGCGTTTGGACAATGGACAGTAGAGTTGGAAGGGACCTTGGCGGTCTTCTAGTCCAACCCCCTGCTTAGGCAGGAAACCCTACACCACTTCAGACAAAGGGTTATCCAACCTCTTCTTAAAAACTTCCAGTGTTGGAGCATTCACAGCTTCTGGTGGCAAGTTGTTCCACTGGTTAATTGTTCTCACTGTCAGGAAATTTCTCCTTAGTTCTAGGTTGCTTCTCTCCTTGATTAGTTTCCACCCGTTGCTTCTTGTTCTGCCCTCAGGTGCTTTGGAGAATAGCTTGACTCCCTCTTCTTTGGGGCAACCCCTGAGATATTGGAAGACTGCTATCATGTCTCCCCTAGTCCTTCTTTTCATTAAAGTAGACATGCCCAGTTCCTGCAACCGTTCTTCATATGTTTTATCCTCCAGTCCCCTAATCCTCTTGGTTGCTCTTCTCTGCACTCTTTCTAGTGTCTCCACATCTTTTTTTACATCGTGGCAACCAAAACTGGATGCAGGATTCCAAATGTGCCCTTACCAAAGTCTTATAAAGTGGTATCAATACTTCACGTGATCTTGGACACATGCAGAGAGGGAAAAAACGCAGGGGCCATTTTTCCCTTTCCAGCCGAGGGATGATAGATCCAAGATTAATCAACGTTGCACAACGTTGCACCTGTCTCTCAGGGCTGCAATTTCTCTCTCTTTTTTTTTATTTTTAGTTTTCTATTTAACTGAGATCGCTCAGGCTTTCGGCCCTTCGGCCTTGGATTTCCTTTTTTTTTTTTTTTTTAGTCTCGGTTGAGAAATGCGGAAGCGTGCTTAAAAAAGCAGCTTGTTCGTTCTCTTCCCCGAGCAATCGACTCCATCCACAAAAGGAGACCGATCCCAGAATGCTTTGTAGTTTCTTAGCAACGGGGCGAAGTTTGTTTTAGCTGGCTGGGCGCTCAAGGAAAGCACATCTTGTTCCTTCTGTGTGCAGAAACAACCGAAGAACGTACGGCTTCAAAACACGAAACTTAAACAAACTGGCAGCACAGATAATCCCTAGTGGGGTGGAGTCGGGGCAACTGAATGGAGCTAACAGAATGTTTACTGGCCGGATGCCCTTCCTGTCGCCAATGCAGAGTTTTATTCAGCAGATATATTCTCATTGTGCCCAGAGAGAGAAATATCTGCCTCTACCTAGGATCGAACTCACAGCCTCCTGATTGTGAGGCAAGAGCTCCACCTCTAGGCTATGCACCACACCACTCTTCCAATATTCCAGAGATCTGAGCATGAAATGCACCAAGGATATCAATCTTCAGTCTCGGCTTAAAAGAATTTTTAATTGCTGGGAACGTCTTATATCTGGGATTATAGGAGTTTTTACAGGCCTACACGCTCGTATTCGGAAGAAATGCACCCTTTCTTAATGAAAGAGTGCCCTTACATGTCTTACTCCATTATAGTAGTGCCCAAAATTGTGGAAACCTTTTGGGAAAAGTGTATTTTTTTATTTTAAACACCACTTTTTTGGGGGGGGGGAGTTTCAAAGTTAATCATATTCCACTGCTGGAATGGCCTGGGAATCACATGATCACAGGAATGCCGCAATGGTTGTTAGTGCGAGAACCGGTCATAAGTCCCTTTTTTTCCCCAGTGCCGTCGAAACTCCAAAGGTTCGCTAAATGAATCGTCGTAAATCGGGGACGACCTGTGGAAAAACCCCAGTGCTGAAAACGGAGGAGTTCTGTTCTGAGCCCGGAGAGATTGGCGGATCTCTCTTTTAAGACGCTAACTGGAATTTATTTCTGCACTTTTTTTGTGCATGCATTTATATATATACACTGCTCAAAAAAAATAAAGGGAACTCAAGCAGAAGACATCCGAGATCTGAATGAATGAAATAGCCTCATTAAATACTTTGTTCGTTACATATAGTAGTTTTGTGTTCCCTTTAGTTGTTTGAGCGGTGTATAAACTACTGTATGTAAAGCACAAAGTATTTAATAAGGCTATTTCATTCATTCAGATCTCGGATGTCTTCTGCTTGTGTTCCCTTTATTTTTTTGAGCAGTATATATATAGAGAGAGAGAGAGAGGGGGAGGGAGAAAGATTGGCTAGCAAACGCAAGGATCCTTTTCCCTTCTCCGCAACTGCTCCGAGAAACTACCGCTTTTGTTAAGAAGGCAACGGATGTCTGCTTTTGTGGCAAGCGGCCCCACAAATTATTATTAAGGAAGTCATTTTAGTAATAGGCTTCCCAGCCCGAGTAATAAACAGGGAGTTTAAATGTTGCTGAGAAAAGAGATTAGGCTCCTTAACTGGCTTTGAAAGGATGAGAGCCCATTATAATTATGTCTCTCTTGAAATAAGAAGCTATTCTCTGCTTAAGAACTTCTAATTTTTAATGTAGGAAAAGCTTGTTTTTTTGTTTTTTTTTTAACCAGTCCTTAAATCGTCGGATCCTTA